TTGAGATTGTTGTAGTGACTCTGTAGACTGGGTTGAATTCTGAACTTTTTGCTCTTGGGAGATAACACTCTGGAAAGTGCTGATTTCTGCTATGACTGCTCGTGCTGGAATATGAATCTCATGGTCAGACTCATTGCTTACCACAACTGGCAGATGACAGGGCCTATGTTGAGGCAAGTCAATGAGGCACGTTTTTACCATAAGCCCACCAGGGAGAGCATAAGAATTTGGATGTTCAAGGAGGACTTGTTTTACATCTTGCCATAATCTTGCAGCCAAGCAACCTTCTACAACTGTGGTTTGGCCAGCAGGGATGAGTTGAGGCTGATTAGACTGCAGGGTGACATTTGCATTATAGTCATTCAACCTCTGGGCATAGCGGTGTTGGAGGATCTTATACACTGCTATATAGCCTGACATCAAAGGTTGAAATGAGTCATCAGGATGGGTATCAAATGTTTGCTATAAGCAACATCTAAGGTGTTGGTGCCAATAAGAATCAGATGTTGAGAAGGTTTAATATCAGGCACAACAAGAGTGAGTGTGTCGACTTCAACAAGTAAACCAAACAATTCAGGCGGGAAGGTTATGTTAATCTCTACATATCCCAGGTAAGGCACTGTTTGTCCATTAGCTCCTTCTATTTCCAACAGGTTGCTTATTGGTTTAATTTCATGATCCCTGAGGTAAGTATTGTAGAAGGAGTAGGGATAGTAGTAACCTGTGAGCCAGAATCAAGGAGGCAGTTGAACCAATCTCCTTTTATTTGAACTTGGCCTGTACTCTTTGTGCCAACAAGACCTCGTGGCACTGTCTTTATCTGGCGTTCTTTGGGACTGTTCATATGCACAGCTTCTGTGTGTCCCACAATAGAAGCTGTTCTTAGTTTAAAGATTTTGAATTCTTTTCATCCCATGCTTGCTGCTTTTGGCGTAACAGTTTCTTTTTCTGCTCAACAAGACTAGGGTTTGCTTTACTTGTGCAGGAGGAGGAAAGATGACCATCTTCTCCACAATTAAAACAGTACCAGGGCTTGGGCTTGGTTTTTGACTGAGGTGAAGAAGAGTATGATTTCTTCTGTGTTGGCATGGACTTGAATTCAGTTGAACTTTTCTTGGACAGAAGTTGAGACATTTGCTGCTGTAATTTCTGAAGTTCTTTTTTCATTTCTTTCAGCTCTTCATTGGGTGCAGAATGTCCACAAGGACAGGCACTTTGGGACTGGATATGAACTTTCTGTTTTGATGTGCCCATATGCTTTTTCATAAGTGATTCTTTAGCATACTGTCTGTCTTCTTCTGTTCTCAATAGCAACAACAAATCAGAGAAAGATGGTGGGTTATCTTTCTTTTGTTCCAGCTGTAACTTGGTTATGACAGTGTTGTCCCAGCACCCACGACAAAACTGTTTCAATAGATGTTTATTAATGTCTGCAGGTGAGATTCCTCCTTGCTTCACAACAGTGTTAAGAGTAAGCAGAAGCCTTTGAAGGTAACTGGACGGTCGTTCCCCTGGATTCTGGAGAATGTTTAAATATTGGGCATACAGTTCTTCACCGTCCTGCACTGTCCCAAAGGCAGAATCCAGTATATTTAGCAAAATCGCTGGTAATGTGTTGGGGCTCAAACCTTTGACCAAGTCAGCTGCAGGTGATGACAAGCTTTCTGTAATTTTTCTGGTGATATGCAGCGCAGGAAAGCTGGGGTCAGCAAGCAGAGACTCAATCTGGGAACGCCAGGACTCAAAATCCGCTTCATTACTCGGCTTAGGAAGCCGTCCAGAAAAAGTTCGAAGACGAAGTGAGGTTGAACCAGTCAAATCAGCATTTCTGACCACATGTTCAACAACAACCCGTTGTATTTGAGGTGGATTGAGGTCATTGGTGGACAGTGTCAGCCTTGAAGCTGGTTCCGGTTTCCTGCGTCGGGGTCGTGCTCCCTGCTCCGCAGAGGAATGAGCAGGAGGAAGTGAGGATAATGACCCTGATCTCAATCCTGTTTGCACTGGCTGTCGAGCAATGAATGTATCCTCTTCCTCTTTTACCTTTGTTCCACCCTCTTCATCGTCATCGTCGTCGTCATAATCATCATCATCATCATCTCTAATGCCAGCATCACCTCCAAAATTGTCGTCGGCTCCTGCTGCATGCAAATGTTGGCCGATCTGGCTCATTACTACCTTTAATACATCTTCAAAACGATGGCCGCTCTGCTCAGCGATTTTCTTAAGTTCAGTGACATAGTTGGGCTGATGACTACTGCTGCTATCGACTGTGGCTGCGTACTCGAGTGCCAAAGCAGTGACACGGAACACAAGATCAGTAGTTGTTTGAGAGGAGTAAGTATAAGGCAAAAGCGGTTGCAATGCGGAAAAAGCAGTGGAATCCGCAAATTCAACGATCAGGTTTTTAAAAAAAGTGCTTGAGGAATCAGTTACATACAGAGTGCGACTAAGCTTACCATAGCTACTCAAGCAATCAAGTATTTCTTCATCGGCCTTGGTATTAGTAGCACCAGTAATCATCACTGACTGTGATACATTTATACCAGATTGCGCAACAAAATCCATGTTTATTTTTCTTTTCCCCTCTATATTATATATTTTACTCAAGCTTTTCCTCCTCAAAACTCAAATAAATATTCAAAGTGTAACTAAGGAACCCCCAAAAAAAATATTCACACTCACAGGCTCCTGGCTAGCTCACCAAGTGTAACGCTCACTGAGGCTAGGCGCCTGACTACAGCCAAATATAGCAATAGGCAATCAGAAGGGTTCGCCTGAGGAGCCCGTGCATGTGAATAAAACACCAACAGACAGATTGTAAGTTTAAGTCATTGTATTCAAAAGCATATCTTTGCATATATTTAGGGAGGTATTCAATAATAATATATATTTGTATTTTCCTATGAGTATAAACAATAATTACAACAAGAAGACAACAACAAAAATAAATCAATAATTAAACAAATAAATAAATAAATCCCGATAACACCCAAGAGTTCTTTTTCTCATTCAAGTCCAGTACTTTACATGCAGAGTGATTAATGATCCACCAATCACAGTCCGACTAGGTCCTTTTGTTTTCCCTAGTCCATGATCCAGGGCTATAGGTCCAGAGAACTAAAGCAATTTGGTCCAAGTTAGTCCTACCGCAAAGCTGCGGTGATCTGGTAGCTCACCATCCTGGGTTGAAACCGGGGGTGGAAAAAAAACCTGACCTAAACAAGGTCATAAATAAAACAAATTAGCATGTAACAGGCTTAATCTGCTATTTGAGACACATAAACATTCATTACAAAAAATAGTTATATTCCATAAAGTACTTATCAGAAATGATTCAAATGAGTTTCAAATTAATCACATTAATGTTACAGATTAGAATCAAGTTACAGATCAAGTAGTCAGAGATCTAGTAAAATCACAGATCTAATAAAGTCACAGATCTAATAAAGTCACAGATCTAATAAAGTGCACTTTCAAGTTGTATCCAAGTTTAATTGACATTAAAGTCAATTAAACTTAATTGACTTAATTACTACTTCAAATAGTTTTTTTTTTCTGTTTTGTTGCGCAACCCTAAAGAAATTAACCAATTCCAAAGTTCCATTGGCCGTTAACAAAATCAATGAAAAGTAACTAAAAGTATCCGTAAAGGGCAAATTTACAAAAATCAAAAGGTTTGCTTAATTCATTGAGAATATATATTCTATTCGGCCACAAAATTAACAAAGAAAGAATGATCTTTTAGTTTACAAGACCATTCTAAGACGCCAGTACATCATTTTAAGTGGGCGTGTCGCCACCGCATTTCTACTATACAAAAAAAACAAAAGACGTAAAATAAACGACTCACCGTCGAGCAGTTGTCAGACTATACCCAATATAATCCTTCGGCTGTGTTAATTGGGCTCGATTTTGCAATATTCTTCAGCGATTTAGGAAAACGCCAACACCAGCAGCCAGCCACAGCGACAGCAGCAAAAGCAATTGAGAAGATGAGTGCAGTTCGACGAATTTAAACCGAATTTAAAGCGTGCTGCCGGTTTGACCCGCCAAAATAAAATACGGGGTTATTATTTTGTGCAGGCTACAATATACATCTCCAAATCCCTGTGTCGGCGGTTGGCAGGTATTAACCTTTAGACTTGATCCTTTTTCCTTTCTTCTCCGGCCCTCATCTACGGCCCTGAAGTGGCTCCACAATGTGGCATTTCAGTGGTCAACCTTCCCCCGCCCATTGTAAAATGAGCCCAGTGTGTGGCACAGTGGCTATTGGTTGATTGGAGTTAATTCTGAGGGTAAGTGGCTTCCCAGGCTTCAAATTGACTGTAGTTAGAGCTAATGAAACCGTAATAACTGGGAAAATGTTTTTTACTTGGGTTATTTTTTTTCCCCCAATGATTATACAGTTACCACTAGACCGCTGCAGTGTGATTACCTATAATTACAGGAAGGTACGGTCTTACTGGTCTGTGCATGTTTTTCTGCCTATTCTTGATTATTGATGTTAATGCATGCAAAGTGTCACAGAAGAAGCACCATCTTCAAACGTGCGTCATAAAAAAAAGAGAGAAAACAACTGAGATTGCTAACGAGCTGCTTGGTTACTACAGGAACCACCATGGAAACCAATAAAGAATAAAGTGTGGCCAGATTCGAAAACTTTAATGTAATTGGATTCAAGTTTAGTGAGTTAGTAATTAGAAATCTGATTGCTTGGCTAAAGATACCAAAGTTTTAGTGCAAACTGAGACAGGGTACATAATGAAACTAATTGCATGTGAACTCTGGATATTGGGTTTCTAATTACAGAGTGACAATTTGGGTTTTTCTGTCGGAGGAATGAATAACTGTTTCTTGAGCCTACTTTTAGTCATACGTATTGATTTATTTGAGTGCATTTTTTACAGTTGACCAATTTGCATATTTTAGTATTGATAGACGTGTTTCATGTAAAAGCAAATTGTTCAAGCCAACGTCTCTGTCTCCTCGTCATTTAGGACGAAGCGCCGTTGAACTTGAGCTTCATTCCTCTGGACATTAAGCTAACCAACTGGGACGACCTGCCCGAGGCCTTCAGCCGGCACCGGGAAAATCGAATACAGGTCTGCCCTTCCCGCCAGGCACAGAGATTGAGTGTGTGTGTGTGTTGTCTTTTTTCTTTGAAGATCATGATCTGCAGTGCTCACACCAGAGAGATGGACCTCCTTAATTTGTCGTTGCAGTGGAAAAGAATTGAAAGGCAAATTAAATCTTCAGAGTAAAACTTGTTGTTTTTCTTCAATTGAACTTTAGAAATGAAATCAAATTCTGTGACGACTCCAGATCGGAGTTGAAAGTTGATTTCAGAGATAATTTAGTCCATATGGCATCCTTCGGAGATCTCTTCTTAATTCCACTGACCAAATAAAAAGGAGGTGCAAGGCAGTGAGGTGTCTTATTAAACCTGCCCGATATATGCATGTGAGCGCCGAGTGAAACTAATAATACCTCCTATCACAGAGTTGAAAGCCTGACAGATGGATGGACTGTGGACTCACTCTCTCTCTCCAGGGCCTGAAGGGCGTCCAGTTCTTAAACGGACAGGATTACCTAAAGTTTGATTTAGGCAGACTCCAGATCTGGAAAAGTTTGGAAAAGGAAAACACAGTCTATCCCTCCGCCCATCAGTTCATCCATTCTGCCACTTATCCATCAGACCTTCATCTATCTTTCCATCAAACCATCTGTTTGTGTTTTATCATCCATCCATTCATCAGTTCATTATTTTCGTTCATCCGTCTGTTTTTCTTCCCTACCCAGTCTGCGTTTTTTACTTGACTCCATATTTAAAGAAAAACATTTTCAGTAAATAAGATCTAAAACACCCACTAAGACCTCTGGAGATTTGATGCAGGGGGAAAGAAAACTCCAAATTTTGACATAAAAAATGTGCAGGAGCCCTGAGCTGGACGGTGATTCTGGTGTTTAGGAATGGAGGGAGGAGGAAGTGGCTTCCTCATAGCCGAGGAGAACAGCAAAAAGAGAAAGTACGGTTTTATGAGGGTCATTAAAGGAGACGGATCATCGCCTCAAACGACCCTGCGCGTATTAAATCCTGGAATCTGCCGCAGCGCTATCAGAGCTGCTGACAGACGTCCCACCTGTCGCGTTGTTTATGTTGCTTTGTAAAACCCAGGCGTGAGTTGCATCCATCCTCTGACCCATCATTTATGCCCTGTTACCCTCCGATTGTCCCTCCCAATCAATACCAGGCAAACAGTTTAATGTGGGCGGTGATGCGCCTTGGACAGGGAAGCAGTGCTGCGTGAGTTCTGCTTCAGCCACTGTAATTAAAGAGAAAAATACAAGCATGAAATAAATTGCTGTAAAGACTCCATTTGAATGTCTAATATTTCAGCTATACTTCTCAGCAGAAAATATCGCTGAAAAGACAGGACAGTTCTTTCCTGTTGAATCTATTAATCATTTAAAGCTGCTCATAAGTATCAGTGAAGATAATTTTTGTTCTGAATTGAAAAACACTGTACTTCAATACAGTGTTTCAAAGTGGAATTATGTTGTTAAAGGGTTCAGAAGTGTCATTAGTCCCATTTTATTGCCAAACTGGCCTGCTTCAAAATGAGTCGAGTTTTTTATGAACATTTTTACCAAACTGCTCCTCAGCAGCTGCAAAATCAGCCCCAAAAATGTCATCTTTTGACAGTGTGCATCATTCATGAAGATAAACACTTCTCAAGTGTAATATATGTTGGTGAATTGCCCATTAACGTTGGTGACCGGAGTCCTATTTGCTTCATTTTCACTGGATTTTCTTTGAATGCTCCGCTTGGCTAAAAGTATACACATCTCTCCTTTGCTTTGATGAGTTTTGTTCGGCTGTCTGGAAAACGGTCTCAGTCAGAATTGTTTGTTTTGAGCTTGAGGAGCAGCTTCAAAAATGAGAAAATGTTTTGCTTTTAGAAAAAGCTCTGGACGTCGGAGGCATCAATTTGCGATGAAGATGAAGGCTCCAGCAGCTTCAAATTGAAACTGAGCGTAAAGTGAGTTGTCGCGACTCTCTCCCCTCCCCTGCAGGTGCTGAGATTCGTTCAGGAGTGGAGCGGCCTGGCAGCCATGAAGCAGAAGTTGCTGCGACGCAGTGGTTTTCTCTTCCACAGTCCGACACTGGGCCTGCAGCAGCTGGCCGCCAAGCGGCGTCCCCACTCCAGCACCAACAGGTCAGATCCTAACACTCCTCCACCAATATGGAGTCACCAATATTTAACTTTGCTACATTTCATACATTTAAAACCATTAAATTCATTGTGGTTTGGTGAAAAATTCTCTTAAGCTCTTAAAATGCTCCACCTAAGTAAAGTCAAATTTAACTGTTGCATTCAGAGGTTATTGTATTAGTGAATATGAATTTATTTATTGTAGTTTCAGTATAAATCCAGCTTTTCCAACTTTTTTGACGACTTTTCTGTGAAGTCCTTAAAATTCTGCATGCCATCCTTAGAGTAAAGCACGGCAGTGGCAGAATCATGCAGTCGGAAAACCAGTTCAGAGTTGATGTGCAGCTAGTTGGAACTAAACAAAGCCCAATGCAGGAGGAACATTTATTGGGGGCTGCAAAAGATTTAAGACTGCAGCAACACACAGTTAGAGCTACAAAGGATGCAATATTTCCTCCAGCAGACTTATTTTATTATCTCCCCGGCCACAAACAGTATTAGTTTCTGGACTGGAACAATCTTTTGCAAACCCACAAATTTTGCTACGAAATATTTAGAACTTTTAGAATGCTAAACACTGGCCGCCACACTCTGCAGATATTTTGTATTATGTGTTTCTCTATCATGTAAAATCCAAGTAATATTGAAGTAATGTGATAAAATGTGATACTCATGGAAGCCATTGCCCCTTTTCACAAATGAACTACAAATGAATGAATCTTTAGCACTTCCTGTAAGATCCATTTCTCCACAGAAATGGTCAAAAATGTTCATTGGTGTCCGCCTTCCATCATTTTAAATGGCATCTGTTCGCTAACTAAGGGCCGGCTGTGTGAGCTCAGATAAATCCATGAATTGTATCAAGGGAACAAGAACCCCGTCTGCCCCACGAACAGATCAGTAAGGACTGATTTAACAAGCCACATTCTTGTTGGTAGACATTTTAACTCTGTGTAAATGGCGAGATGAATCAGTTCCCAACATAGTATCAGAAAACCAAGAAGCGCGGTGTTAGATTTCACAGAGAAACGAACCGATTTGTAAATACTAACTGCCCCAGGCGCTGCGGAAAGCCTGAATAGTATCTGTGTGTGTCCATGTGTGTGTGGGTGTATCAAAGGGTGTTAGCTGAGGCATAATGGAGGATGGGATGAGTGTTGCGTGTGTGTAGCTGTGCGTTTTTTTGTTGTTTTTTTTTTGACAAACAAGCATTGTTACTGGCACACTAATTACAGCTAGCTTGGGTAAAGGCAGGGAGAGTTTGCCAATTACACAGTGGACTCCTGTGTGTGTGTGTGCGTATGAGAGGGAGAGGGTTTCTCGACTGGGGAGCACGTTTGGGTGCATGAACCTAATCAAGGTACGAGTAGGAGGCAATTGGCTCAGCTTGATTTGATACCTGTTTGATTTATTCACTAATCAGAACCAATCAAGCTCCAGCTCGGGCTCAGCGGGACAGTCGCTACTCACCTTCCCAGCGCTGAGACGCTCAGTTTTCAAATACTTCACGCTTTATGCACTTTGCCCGGGTTCCCAACACTCTGGATGTTTTCATCAGGAGCCACTTGTGGTGATTTATAAAGATGTTGAGAGGTGAGAGGGTTTTAATCCAGTTTGCATTCTGCCTACTGTAAGGCGCTGCTGCTTTCAGAGTTACCACAACATGTCTTCATGGAAAGTTTACACACACTCCGAATGGGAGGAATATCGCGTACATATGGGGATTTGTATTTCAGATGTAGTCTGCAAGTTTTCAATAAGATTGAGGTGGACGTCAGACAGCTTTATCTAGTACCAAAACATGTTTGGGATCAGGTTTTAACAATCTACATTATGGGTGTCAAGACTCCAGTCATCAGGAACTGGTGTCTCTGCTTTCTGGATTAAATATTTAGGTAATTTGCAGGACTTTAGATCTTGATTAGATGCTCAAGAGTTTGTTCAACCATTTGGGCACCAACCCCTGAAGACTAGAGTTTGACATAAATGTAAGTTGAGTTTACATTTTTAAAAAAGTCTTTAAAAAGTCTTGAAAGATCTTAAACTCCTGTGTCAAAAATTAAGCCTCACCCTGACTCCCATAATACTTGTCATTGTGGCCAAACAGCTGTAGTTTTATCAAGTCAGGTTCAAAAACATTTTGGAGCATATTTTTTTGGTCTGGACCTTCTTAGTCCATGTTGGTATAAAACTAGTTTCCCTATAGTGAGGTATACTGGTATTCAAGCAGCATCCAGGTCAACTTCAATCATTCCTGTATATTTTAAGATCTTAACCTGTTTATTTTGTTCATAGAATCTGTCTAGATAGTTAGAGTCAAAGGTTGGAAACTGAATAGAGCTGGGTGAGCAAGCAGGACAAGCATCTCAAACAAACGTCAAAGGTATTTTTGTTAATAATAACACAACATGACCTTAACCTCAACCTTATTGATTTTGTACAGGTTGTACTCAAAAGCCAAGTCTGCACACAGGAATTAAATCTTTTTGAATAAACTATATTTCTGCCAACAAGATGGGAGGAAGATATTGAGTTGCTGTTATTCCAGAAGTACATTGATGGCTGCAGAGTGTGGTCTATGAGAGACATACAAATACAAAAAAAATCTCAATAAATTAAAATTTATTCACTCTTGTTTAACTGCAAGAAAGCTTAAAAGCTGCTGCTAAGCTAATCTTCTCACAAGAACTGTAGATCTTTAAAAACCAAACAATTGCACACTTTGTGATAGTAGCTGCTGAATGTCCTGAAGACATTTAAGAATAATCCAAACAAGATTATTCAGACTTACAGCACTTCCACTGGGACCAAGTTAGTGTCTGGAATGATTCATACTCTCCTGATCCCACACTTCTGATTTCATAACTTATTACTTTCTTCTTCCCTAATAAAAAGCCCACACCTCTCCACTTCCACACCCCCAGCTGGAAACACTAGCTTCCCAATGTACATTGAAATCTCAAGCTGAAACTCAAATTTCAAACTTTTTTCCAAAGCAGCTGAACACATTTGCACATGATGGATTGTTCTTTATACAACAGGGAAACTTACTCTTTTTTTCAACACAGTATTTCATACTAATGTCGACTGGATTTCACACTTTTCACTATTCAGTGTGTTTGTGAAGCTCATTGTTGGGTTTATTGTTATTTAAGGTGAAACTCTCCTCTCCTTGTGACATTTAAATCATTAGTGATATATTTTGGAAATAAATAATTTCAAAAATCCCAAAATTATTTTTAAAATTTCATAATAACAGTATATATATTTCTATGCTTTTTTTAATGCTTAAGATGTTAAATATCCGGAATATCTGATTGGTTTACCTGTAGAAATTGCCAAATTTAGTCATATTATATTGACTTTTTTTTCCTATAAGCTCCGCCCACTTTTTTATGGATAAATAGACCATGAAATAATTAAATAGTGAGATGATTATGTAAGATTTTTTGAAACAGAATTGTTTTTATTATATAAAAACTGAGTTTTTTTGTAATTAATTAACAATAATACACTAAGTTGACCATTTAACTATCTAGTTGTTACTGAATTGTGACATTACTGGACCTCCATAGTTTCCAACTGTTTCTAATAATGAAAGGAGCTTTGCTGGTATAACATTACAATCTTTCCAGAGTATTAAATTGGTTTTGTGTACCTGGGTAGAAACATGAATCTGGTTTTTGAACATGCTTAATTAGATTGTTAATATGCAGTCAGTTCACCTCTCAGGTGTTTTAATATTAAGGATAATTGGTCTGCACATGTCCGATGTGAATTAGAAACTCTTCGTTTCCTTCACATCAAAAAAACAACTGAGAACATCTCCCTTGTGCCGCTGAAAATAAGGCTGCAGAACGTGCGTACTGTGAAAGCAGCAATCAATCAGGCAGCTTCAGCTGGGCCACAGCGAATCAGCAGCTCGTTAGTTTGATTTCACACAGCTGAGCCGGGTCCTGCAGAACCGCCTGGATGTAGCCTGACGCTCTGTCAGCTTCCCACTGCCGCCATGACCCTGCAGCGGCGCCTGCAGCTGAACATCAACCGGCCATCAGTGGAACGTCGCCTCCAAATGATCTGGTTGCCTGCTGGGTATTGACTGTGCTGCTTCTAAAACAATGTAACGTTCCTTAATAATGAAATAAATAAACCCAATCAAATAGTAGCAGAAACACTGCAGCTCCATGGAATATAATTGGAAGTTACCAAATTAGAGAGCATTTTCTCTTCTCACTGGTATAAATCATAACAGAAAGTATAATTCATCAGAAAGGGGCAGAAGTCACATCAGTATACAGAATTACTGTCCTGGCTCCTGGCTGCATTAAAAAATGCAAATATGCTCACACATCCACGCTCTCCCAGCAGCGCAGTTGGACTCCAGTTTAGTATATGGTATCTCGTTTCATCCCGCCTCTGTGCTGGGACCGTTTGAAGCAAAGGAAGCTCTTGTGTTTGATGAAGGCTTTACCTTTTTCCTCATCTCCCTACAGCTTCCAGAGAAACTTCTCCACTTTGATGTGTCTCTCCTCCACTTTCTGCCTGCTGCCATCCATCTTCGCCATGTTTTTTTCTTCTTCTTCTTTTCTGTATCTCTCCCAAACAAGCGTTCTGGCCAGATGGAGTTGGTGTAAATGCATATAAATGTTGCTGCCAAGCCTGCAGGGCCAAGTTAGAAAAAAATAAAAAAGAGTTGTACAGTGGCAACACCTTCCAATTAACATGAAAAAGCAAGTAACTCATTTGGTCTCAGTATATTTATCTAATCTGTGGCTGAAAATGTGCTTTCATATTAAGGCATTATTAAATTAATATTTCTCTGTGTTTTCTCGGAGAGGCTTTCTGTTCATTGATTTTTGTTTCACCCGTTTCAGGGCCACTGCGAGTCTGGCTGCTGTAAAGTTTAATCAAAGCAAATCCAAGAATTGACACAAGTGTCAGAACAAATGCTTGGAAGATACATTAATTATTGATCCTCTCTGCAATTAGTGAACATCTTCATCACCAGAGTTGATTGTCTGTAAAATGGTCACACCACCCAGTAGATGCCTCTTGGCCTCATCTTTTTAATCTGTATTTTTGTCTTTTCTGACTTAACACACAGATAAATCCATCTTCTCTGCTTGATATAACACAGTTAACACTGAAATGTGGCCAGTTATTTTCTACTTTCTCCTCTTTTATTTTTATTTCTTTTTACAATTTACTGCTCTGAGTTTTTGTCACACAAATTGGAATAGGAATGATAAGCACTGACTTTATAGTCTGATAGGGAGCAAGGACACATGATAACGCTCATTTGTGCATCAAGGATGCAGCAGTTTGTGTTTGTAAAGAGTTATTAATCCCTATGTGCCTCCCACTTAACAAAAATAAATATGAAAGTCTCATAATATGTGAAAATGCTATGCTTTCATGGGATCGACTCATGGGATGCAAGGTTTCCACTATTGGTGGTTGGGCGCTAGGGTAGCCATTTATCCAGCGGTCGGCCATGTTTTTGAGTTAGAAAATGTTTAAAGTTGACCAAAAATGTAAAATTATCACTTGATAGTCATGTGTTATTTAAAGATTGGAAGACTGATACCTAAACACCAACAATAAAGTCTTAAAAAATGCAAATATTTAACAAATGTTTAAGTAAATTAATAGTGATTAGCCTGGTGGGGCACAAGTAAAGCCTTTTATTACTGATTTCATGATTTTATCAGGAAAAACACTATAACAGTGATTACAGTTAAAATATATGTGGTATTTATTTGCTGGTATTTTTGTACACTGATCTATGTAATAATGTAGAAATTAGATCACCTGCTAAATAAAATCTGACTTTAAAATTTACGCATTATTATTTATAGAGCCCTTTTTCTTTATGGCTAAGTAAAACACAAAGTTTGTTTCAGAGGTTAAAAGCAGAACGACAAATATAAAACCATACAAATTATATAAAAAAATAAATAATAATAGGATTAATATTGATAACCAAATGAGAAATTAATCAGTTCTGGTAGAATGCAGCGGATATTAGCCTAACAAACATGTTACTACCAAAGCTAAACCTTACAATACACATCTTCTAAGAATGAGATCCTGGTATATTTCTTTAGTAATTACATTTTTATTATATTTAGAGAGAAGTAGGTAGTTTTTCTTTTCAAAGTGTCAACATGTTTTGGCCAGACAAAGGCTTTGACACAACAGTTTTAGTACGTAGGTGGTGAAACAAAAGGGTATTTTGTCATTGTATTTGTACTTGCCTGCAGAAGGAGCAAAAATAGCACGGCGCTGAGCTTCTGCAGAGCTCATAGAAGAGAGGACGGATAATTGCTCTGTGGAGACCGTTCGAGGGGTTGTACCATCCCTCTGTGGAGACCCCTTAATGTTTGTTCTGGATATTTTTGATTGGTCACTTTTCTCTCATGACCACTACAATTTTCTCCCGTCCAGAGCAAACATCTCTGCGTCTTTTTTCTGCCGCGGTATTTTGTCTCAACTCTGACACGCCGGGGTCATTTTAATTCTGCTAGATTGGCGTGTAAAGTTGTGGGCAATTTCAGCTTTCATGCCTGGCATCTGTATTACAAGGGCCACGAGAACCCGTGGAGGGAGAGAGGGATTAGATTAGATGATTGACGATTCCTGTGGGGAAATTAGATTTCAGCAGCAGCAATAGTAATGGGATTCGCAAGGGAGGAAGACAAACAGAATGTATGTGCTCAGATGGAATAGGAAATAAGAAATAGAAGGGAAAATCTGAGCAATTAAGCACAGTTTGGTACCTCTGAGGTAGTGAGTTTAAGTTTTACCTCTTATGTGGTATTTGTTGCAAAATTATTGCAGACCTGAGAGGATGAATAAAATGTTCAATCATATGTAACAAGAGCTATTGCTGGCCAGAGACGGTTTAGGTGTTCATTTCTCTGCAACTACTCCCCGATGCTCCTGAATCAGCTGTCATCATCAACCTGTTATGTCGGGCGGTGTATTAGGGACGTTGTAGACAGAACATGTATATTTGTGAGAAAAAAACTCTGAGACTTTGAGATTAATCTCAGAGATTTTCTAGAAAAAACTTGGAAATTTATATGAACTCGAAAAGTTGACATTTCACAAGAAAAAAATAAGGAATTTTGAGCTTAATCTCAGATGTTTCGCAGAAAAAAATTTAAATTTTTTTCCTAGAATTCTCAACTTTTCTCAAAGTTGACTTTTAGAGCTCACAAATGTCCATTCTTGCAAATTTTTGACGTTTGGAGCTCGAACGTTTCATGTCGTTTTCCACTTGGAGATTGCTCAGCTCCAAAAATGTTTAATTTGTAAGGTAAAAACAAAAAGTTTTTAGCTTAACTTGGACATTTCTAAATTTGAGAAGTTGAAAATTTGTCAGAAAAAATTTGAGTTTAACCTCAGATATTTCCTAGAGAATATTTTGATATTTTTTTATATTGTAGTCGAAATTTTTAAAACATTTTCAGTTTCAAAGTTTCACTTTTAGATCTCAGAAAATTCAAATTAAACAAAAGAAAAAATCTTGTAGACTTACATTTAGCACACAGAAATTAAATTTTTCTAGAAAATATCTAAAATTAAAATTACAATTTCTTGATTTTTTTCTCGCTCAGAAATTTCCAAGTCTTTTCTAGAGTTTGTTGGCTGAAATTTATTACTACTCCTTTATTTTGGTGTCTATAACAGCCCAAATAAGCCGTCATAGTTTGTGACGCCAGTAAATCCACTGTTTCCAGGTACCTGAGCAGAGAGGAGGTGGCCAAGGCTTCCGTCAGCAAAGCCCGGGAAGAAGGAGGCGGCGTCCGTGTGGTCACCAAGGAAAACTTCTTCACAAAGAGGAGATCTGGCAATCCACAAACATCGGCTGCTGCAGAGAGGTTGGTTGAATGTTAATGGATATTTTGCGTGGGATATATTGTTCTAAGTTGATCACCTAATATAGCTGGTCTTTATTATGGTTTGCACATGAAGGTGGATTGTCTTATACTTTGGGATTCAGACTATTTTCCTTTTCTCCCCCTCAGTCGTCTCCATGGAAATCCGCATGGCAGAGGCGCAAAGGCCTGCCGAGTGTGTTAGTACAGTAAATATAGCCCATAATACAATCCACCCATTTAGATGCAGCAACCAGCTCACCCCAGGAGGCAATATTTCTATGGAAACCTAAAGCAAATACTCCATCTCTCGCACAAATACACAGCATTCACAACAACTGCTGCTCCAGACCAGAGAGTTCATGGTGTGCCTGTGGGGCGCTATTTAGGATTAGTGCTTTAGCTCAACATACAGCTTTAACTTAGTCAACAAAGCTCAAGAGTGTGAAAATGAAAGCTAGCATCACTGTGTCAATCAAGGAAGTGACTGTGTTGACATGAGAACATTTCAAATCACGCTTTAGTGCACATTCTTTATAAAAGATGCAAAAGAAGGGAAAATAATTTAAGTCTCATGTTTTTGTTGTTATAGCTGAGAAAAATGTTAATATTTTGTCACAAATAATTAACAGTCCAGGTTTTAAATATCTGAATGTTCTTCTCAGGCTTTTAATGAATAAACCGTAGAAACTGCATGATAGATTAAAAAAAAAAAACATTTAACAAATGAATTCACAGCAAGTTTATGTTTTTACAATCCGAAATAATGCAGAGGTGAAATACTTTGATTTTTTTTTGTCTAAGTGAGGCTGCACAAAAATCCACAATATCTATATTGCAGCTCAACTCCCTTCTAAGTTTGAGTCTCACTTGTTTGTGGAAAAGGAAGTTTTTCCTGCTTGCTTTTGACAGCGTTCTGCTGCTGCAGTAGCACTAAATCGCCTTTTCCAGCAGGATTTGCATCGGTCTCGTTGCACCTGCCAGATCCGAATCCAAAGCCTTATTATTAGGTGAAATATTAGCCTACTGTAATGTTATATTGAGTACAATTATTCCATTTTCATTTATCCAGTTTTATTGACATAATTTGTTTACATTTCTCAGACATTTGTTCATTAATTCAGGTGAATAAAACCTGTAATTTGCAGTTTCTCTTAATTATTTCAACTCTGAATCACCTCTGTGTCCACAGGAAGCAACAAATAAATTAAAATGCGTTTTTATTGACAGCTGGACCTGCCCTGCTCTCTTCGCTATAGAGCATCAGAGACGAGCCGAGGTGGTAAACATTAGCATGCTGTGCGCCATTTGCTGAAGGCATGTTGTGTGATTTCCGAGGTTTAAAGAATGAATTTACAGAGAGTTACCCCTTGCTGCTATGCGGCGCACATTCTCTACTTACAGGCATGAATTTAAATTAAGCTAAATATAAAACACATTGCTAAGAATTCGGGTTTTGTTGCCCCTTTCTGTTAAAATTGAAGTTTTTCAAGGTTTTCTTGACCGGTTTCAGATTGGGGACACCAGTAAATAGACTATTTCTGTATCCCTTTCATCCACTTTACTGTACTGGCAACGGGTTCGTCTCTTGGTGCTTCCAATTTTTGGTATCTTCACAACTTTGAAGCAGCAAGGTTCCTTTTTTTAGAAGGTTTTCTTCTCTATTTCAATGATTGCATTTTCCTCTGTAGTGCTGTGTCTTTCTGGCTCTTTGTTCCCGTCTCTGTCTATCTGAATTGTAAACCACGGGGAAAGAGAATTCAGTCCATCTGTCCGCTCCAATGTGGCTCTAGCACCCTGCTGGGAAAACATGGCAGATACCCAGATTTTCTGTCCCCTGCCAAAAGGACAAGCATGCACACACACACATACACACACACACACATACACACACACACACATACACACACACACACGGATTGTTGCTGATGATACATCAGCTTCATGAATATAAACAGTCTGAAGGTATTTCACAGACTGCAGCTATATGCCACCCCAAGTCTGTGTTTGCAGAAATGCTTTGATTTCATTTGTATTGGATGAAAATGTGTATTGAATTGTTTTCACTGCTCTACTGATGCTGAAAAGCAGGAATTTAGACTGATGTAAGGTAACTTCACTTGCTTTTTTCCCCACAGTAAAAACATTTTATGTGTTTTCTGATAGTTTGGTTACTTCTGCATTATCTCACATTTAGATGCTTCAGTATATAAATTTACTCTTATTTACATAATTTAAAATAGAAGTAATCGGAATTCCAATTTGAATTTATCTTAAGGACCTATAAATAACAACAGAACAATTTATTCTTCCTATATAGATTTGTAGAAATTGTAATTTCTTTAGAAAAACAATTTTCTCAATGATACCAAAATTATTCTCATCAATTCTTTAATTTATGCAGCCTGAATAAGCAGAATGAACATATGTTTTAAAATCTAGTTTTCGTTCAAATTTCTGATACTGGAATTTCTTCTGCCCACACTAATAGTTTCTACACTGAAGAGTGTTGCTGAATCTGGTGTAAAAGCCAATTTTTTGATGATTTTTATATCTTTTTGTAATAAAGATAAAGTACATCTTTCTTCTCCTTGAATTCTGCAGACTGGACCAGCAGTCTTGCAAAGCAGAAGTTGAGCAGCCATCTTCAGGGCCCAGCTACCTGCAGGCTGTGGACAGTCAGGGTGTCCCTCTGTGCCTCTCCTGCCAGCAGGCCTGTCCTACCACAGGCGGAGCTTGGGATACTCGATTCTGCAGCCACAGGTACAAGATTACCACAGTTTACAGAAATTATAGAGAAAACAGATCAATGATGTGTTTCGATTTGGTCTCTCCTGCACAATCAGAGCTAAAATTCCCGTCCAGACATTTCGATGCTGTTTTCCTTCCAGATGCCAGGAGGAATTCCAGCTGCGGTCCAGCCGGACGTTCATGCGTTCCTGCGTCCTGGAGGCAGAGCAAGGCGTTTGTCAACAATGTGGCCTCAAAGCTCATGAGCTGTTCCTGAAGGTCCGTGATGCACCAACCTCCAAGCGGAAGGAGATCCTGGAGAACACATGGCTGGCCCAGCTGCCACCTGAACGGGTTGGTAACCTAAAACCAGTCCCAAAAATATTTCATCTTAAGAAAATGTTCAATCTCTACGACTAGCAGGAGACTTTAAATGTGAGCTATATTTATTTTCTTCTGAAAAAAAAGGGGAGGCTTTATTTTTTCTTTTATTGGTTTTTGTGTGAGTTCAGAAACTGAATTCGCTTCCCATTCTGTCCATCCGTCCCACCTACGCAGATACACACAATAGTGCAGGTTGAGCTGCACTCCGAGGGGCCAGCTCCCAGTAAATGGATTGCTGGGCACATTGATTTCTTTTTTTTTCTCCTAGTGCCAGGCCCCGACCAGTAAGCCTGTTTGATTTGGTTGGCTGTTATCCTGCAAAGCCAGCCCCCCACCACACACACACGCACGCACACACACGGATAGATACCCCACATCTTCCCAGTGCCGCTGGCATCAGCATCAGCGCCGATCGATTCTCTGAGCTTTAGAGGAAACAAACTCAGCCACATGATAAGACGCCGCAGTGGTGGAGAAGCCTTGAGATTATAGGCTCATTCTTTGGTTCATACCAAGGGTTCTGGTGTGTGTGTTTGTTCCCAGGTGTGTGTACATGTGTATGCGTGTCTTTGGGGTTGCTCTTTCTTTCTTTTTTCACTTTGAGAGTGTGTTTTCAGAATATGTTAAAGCCTTCGGGTGCATTTGAGCTCAGTCTTGGTGTGTTTGAAAGTGTGCAACAGAAGGGTCGGGTGCAGAAAGGTGCACATTGTTGGCAAGATAGGAGGTTTAATTGACTAAACCGTGTGTGTGTGTGTGTGTGTGTGTGTGTGTGTGTGTGTGTGTGTGTGTGTGTGTGTGTGTGTGTGTGTGTGTGTGTGTGTGTGTGTGTGTGTGTGTGTGAGGTGAACTCTGCTTGTCTGAAAAGGCCTATTCTTTAAATCTGCTGGGATCAATTCCACCTCGTTGCCTTAATGTCGGCAGAGTACTTCTCAAAGCGGGAAAATAGATTTTTGCTGCTCAAAACGCCTCTTTTCCTCTGGTTCTTCGTCATCATCGTTTGTTTCTTTACTTGATTTTATTTCTTGTTTGCTTTCTATCCTATAAATGAACATATTCTATTGTTTAGCAAGTGAACTAAACAACTTAATACTTAAATATCTGAAAGAGTAAATCTGATATTTCTAAGTCATGTTAGACTTGTTGTGTTTTGTGTTGCTTGTGGGTGTTTTTTAGGGATTTATTAATGAGGAAATAGTTTGGACACAGCAGCAGAAACACTGATAAACTTGGCAGTGAAATAATTGCAGCTGTGCTACCAGTGCTAGCCCTCTGGTGGCCTTGAGATTTAATTCCTCTGGATGTTTCCAGAAGACTGAAGCGGACCAGTTTGGCCCACATAAACACACTATCTGCTATCTGAACGCTACCCCACTTCTCCACTATAAAGTTTCTTTAAAGTATGTAGAAAAAAATAATCATGAGTTGCTTTTTTTCTGCTCTTCACCTTAATTAGCCATTCTCAATTGGCTTGAGCGCATGTGCGTCTATTTCTTTCTGCTTTTGCCCCATGAGGGAGCAGAAAGGTGTTTCCTCCCTGGGATCAAATTTGCATCTGTAGTGGAAGATGTGAAAATAGCACATCTCCAGAGTTTGTAAACGTCTCCCGAACTAAATGATTAAGTAAGTTTATCTTTTGTGTTTTAGAGCACTGTCTTCGTAACTTGGAAAGTTAAAACAAAGGGAGAAAGTTAAATAATTTAAGGAGTTATGTATCTTACCGCGGCGCAGAATTCCCTGTGGTATTTTTAACCTAATTTCTGCCTACTTCATCAGACAGACTTGCGAGTTCTCCATGATGAAGGTTCCCTACACCTGCCCATTATATAGGTCACTCAGGTGATTTATATGGCTGTACCAGGGGCATCTGATGATGATGGATAGCGAGTGGTTCAAAGTTAACCCTCCGTGATTCAGCGAGGATATTGTTTTAAGGAGCTGGTCTGACATCCTTGCATTTATGACAACATTTGAAGCTCTATTAAGGAAAAGTTCTTCTGCAATTTGCTCTTGTTATCTGTTCTTTTCTGTTTTTTTGCATTGAGAAACATTCTCCAAAGAAGCATCTCTGCAGTGCAGAGATTTGTTGAGTCATTTGTGAACAGTAACTTCAAAGAGTAACCACACATTTTATGCTTTTTTTCTCCCATTTTGGGGGATTTTCTATGATAAACCAACAAAGTAAAGTTATAAAGTAGAAGGGAAATTATGGATTTTTGGAGACCAAAACGGCGTCTTGCAGACTAAAGAACACAGCAGAGGGTTGTAATGTGAAAAGTTGCTTGCAGCAACCTTAAAATGGATGGAGTGCTCTGATGGCCTAGTCAAAGTCCAGTCCAAAATCCATCTCGAGCCTGAATATTAAGATTTGGAGATGCTCAAATATATGTCTCACTTTTTGACTTTTATTTTGTATACATTTCAAAAACTGTCATTTTTCTGCTTCTTCACTAGTTGGGCTGAAAACTGTGTCAAGGTTTTCTAATTGGTCAATATCAATAATTATTGATTTGTGTTTTTTTGAATCAGAGTACAAAGCATAGAATTATGTAGAATTTCATTCAATATCAGGACAGATAGCTGTTCAAGCTTACATCCCCCAGAATGCTGTGCGGTTCAGGATCTGAGTTTAATAAAATTATTAACAACTGCACTACTTTGTGTTGATCTTTCTCATAAAATCTAAATGAAACAGGTTAAAAAAGCAGTAGAAATGGATGGTTTGGAGAAAAAATGTGGAGTTACACTCACTCTGTCGCCTTCTGGTTACGTTCGTAGCTCAACAAGATGATCTGCGCGCCGGTGGAGGGAGACTTTTGGCAGGTGGACCACATCCAGCCGGTCTACAGAGGAGGAGGACAGTGCTCCATGGACAACCTGCAGACGCTCTGCACCACCTGCCACAAAAATGTACGTTCACACGACGCATCAACAGGCGTAAAGAGTGGCTTTTAAAGCCAGAGGGCCTTAAGGGGCAAAAGCAATTTGTTTGACATTTAAGGTTGGCAGTGGATAAAGCTCCCCTCAGAAGATGCTCTCATCGCTCATGTTGAGGATCACATACGGTGTCAGTAATGCAATCCGTGGTCAAACACATTGATCAAAAGTCACATTATCCCCCCTCAAAGCTATATACTCCCCATAATAGCATCACATGATGTGGCCGCATGACACATTGATGGATAGCACTTGTTGAAGCGGGGTGCTTCGCATTTTCCCTTCACTCAATTTTCCATAATCGCAGAAAATGTACTTCTCTGAAAGAGAGGCGACTCTACTGGTTTCAAAATAAAAACACGGCTTGCATTGTCGCCCAAAATGCGCTCCGCTTTCACGCCAGAAAGCGTTTTAGTCAGAGTGGGTGTCAGATTGGAAGGAGAGAGCCTCGCATGTAGACGACCATGAACTGATGTGGAGCACTGGGCCTCCTGATAAGGGGATCTTCTCCGCTGTTCATGCCAGCCCTGCAGACACTTCAATCTAAACATGCCCGAAATATTGATCCCTCCCATCCCGACTGCAGGTTTAAACTCTTACATCATGCTGCTTCTTTTTTCTGTCTCTCTCTCCACAGCGGACGGCTCTGCAAGTGAAAGAGCGCAGCCAGATAAAGAACCTCAAGGTAGCGTCAGACATCACCAGGTTCTTCATCAGGAAATGAAACGCCTTCACAGTGAAAGTAGGTTTAGGTTGGATTTTTTTTTTTTTTTGATTTACAGTGACTGTTTGAAGATGTGTGGAGAAAAAAAAATCCTCAGATTCTATTTTATTAGGACTTTATGACAGACCAATGAAACAGACAATCATTTCAAAGTAAAGTGCTGATAATAATTTGATGCTGATGTCTACTTGTAAAACTTTACAAAGTTTTCACAAGATGCTCAATATTCCTCTTTGTGATTTTTAATTTTTCATGTGGGCGTTTTCATAAAGTTACTAATTAATTCTCTTAATATTATGCCTTTACTAAAAATCACAAACTGGGTTTAATATTTTATTGTAGAGTTGGCCTGAATTCAAAATCCAAATAAATAGAAGCTGGAAAACAAGATGGCGGCCTGGGGTGGTAGAAAAATAAATCCAGATTTTCCAAAAATGACATCTTCAAAAACCGCTCAGCTCAAGTTTGTGTTGAATTTTCAAATAAAATCCCAACAAACCTCTGAAGTTTGTCTGTAAAGTGACAAAATCAGGACGTATTAATGCGGCGCCGCCCTGACATATCTGGATGCATCGCTTCCCGATGACATCAGCCCTACTCCCCCCGTCTCTGCTAGCCCTCATTACATCAGAACATGCTCCGAAAGAGATTTATCTAAAAGGTGAAAAAACAATGGTGACGACTTGCTTCAAATGCAAATTCAGCCAACTTCCCTCTCGTCCCCGAACCGTCACGAGCGCTTTGGGTTTGATTTATGACGGCCCCCTTTTCCTCTTTCGCTCCAGGCTGAAGTGGAGCGTGTTTTTAGAGAGATGCTTCTATTTTAAGATTTTGCAAACTTGGTAAAAAAGAAAAACACATAATAAAGGTAAGAAAAAGTGAAAGCAGGTGAGATGAATTGAGGGGACGGAGATGGAACGGTGCTGCAGAAAAACACAGCCAGGTGTCCTGCTTGGTCCTCAACATGTGGACTTTTTGCAATTCTTCTTATGATGGATGGGAGAAATAAATAGCTCTATTCTTTTTCTCTCTTTTTTTTATCCTTGTCTTCCTTTATTTATCTGTAAATACTCTCAGCTGGGAGATCATTTCATCGCCTCAAGTCAGGAACATTATCCATGTCCACGCATCTACATCCTCTTCAGCTGTGCTTGATGATCTGAGCAGAGGTAGAGCCGCGCAAGGCTATGTTTAGATAGCGGGAGAGCCGAGTTACTATGGAAACAAGGCTTCAGGTTCAGCCATGTCGGGAATATTGAATCTGTTTTTCTCCTCGTGTGTGTGTGTGTGTGTGTATGAGAGCGTTACACAATGAGCCAGACATCAGAAAACTCCAATCAATATTAGCGGGCTCCTGCGAGAATGAGGCCGTCGCATTCCTCCTGACAGCGCGTCTGTCAAGCGTGTCAGAGTCCTACCTCAGCACAATCCCGCCACCGCCTGGAAAACTTTAACGTTTCCCTCTGACAGCCCCAAACTTCACGCGTCGCGTCAAAACTCCCTCGGATAAGAGCGCGTGGGGGCGCGCGTAGGTGCGTGCGTGCGCGTATTTCCCCTACGGGTGCTCCAGGTCTCTACTTAATAAGACCGTTGTTCCTCTCCTGTCCAAACCGACAAGCTTTGTGAGTAATGAACATCTCCCAGGCAGCCTTCCAACAACAGCAGGTTTCAGTGTCAGTCCCTGTCAGCAGCCAATGACTCTGATCTGCTGTTTTATTACATCCAAAAGATGTGTGTGGCAGGACGGGGAAGTTGTAAGGAAAGTGTGGATAAAGAAATCGGTTCGGCAGAGGAGGGGAAACGTATGTTTGTCAGAGGAAGCCTGTAATGAGGCGGCAGTCCGATGAAGTCGTCTCATGTTCCTCCCAGAAGGTCTGCTGGGTAAAGAGCAGCGCTTCGGTTTGCGTTTGGAAAAACACCCCAGAGGAGAAGCGCTTCCCCCGCAGGTGATCTCGGTAATAAAGACGGACTCAAACGCCGACGGAGGGCCGCAGAGGTTTCCATGTTTGCTCTCAAACACATTACTCCCTCTTGTTTTTTTTTCTTTAAATCAGGATGAGGCCAACACCCCAGCTCGCCTCTCCGAAATCAATATCTTTCGTCTCCATGTTACAGTTGCAGAGACGTCCCCGCGGGTTTCGTAGCAACAGCACAGGCGATAAAAGTCACAAGGCTTAAATTAGCTGCAGATCTGGCGGAAATAAGCACATATAATTAGAAAGTCACAGTTGGTGACAAAAAGGAAACGGGAGAAAAGTTCTTTCTGGAAAAAAGTACCATCTTAAGAAACTCAAGCGAATGATTCATATGTGAAAATCAGATAAACGATCATATGGATCATGGAGTCAGTTTTTAGAATAAAAATTGTTTGGCTTTATTAGTGCTGCATCCCTCCAAGAGACTTTTTAAATCAACTTGTTGACCCATTTTGAAAAAACAAGCATTAAAGTTTATCCAGGTTAGAGAAAGAAAATATGCCTGAAAATGATGATCTGGTCGAAATATTCACTTGCCTAGTAATTGTCCACATAGTGAAGGTTTTTGGTCTTATCATGGCATCAGAGAGAGAAAAAGAAATGCCCCTCATAGATGCATCATTTCTCCAATGTAGGTCAGAGGACCCCCGGGGCCTTCATTGGGCTCCTGGGGTCCCCCAGCAAATTAAGAAATAGATTAATAGGGCTGTAACTTAACTCCATAGGAAATTCCTCAATTACAGATACTACATGAGATTTAGGAACGATTAATGTAAATGTAGGTTTGCTTCTCACACAAAAGCTGTCTTCTTCAGGCGTTTGGGACATGTTGTACCGCACCGCAAACTGTCCGGATTCCTTCATTACTCTTTCCTGATTTGCAATTCAGATAGCCGGCCGCTCTATTTGCCCTCATTCCAGCCGTAATCCATTTCAACCTTGCCTGACCCTATAATCTACTTTGGCCTTTTCAGCTAAAGGAAACGCTTCCACAAACCCAATCTAGTGTGACAGGTGTGATGGAGAACGGCCAATAAAAGCCGGCGCGGGGCGCCGCGTGAAGCCGCCGGCTCTCCAATCGGCGGCCGGACCCCGCTGTGGTTTGGTTCCTGGCTGCCACGCTCTCCGCTGCGCTCCCTCTGCGCCGTTGACCCTTCGTGCCCTTGGGCGAGGGGAAAGGGAAAAGGACACTCAGGGGAGGCCGGACCCCGCCGCTTTCTTCGGGAACGGCATTGTCTCTGCAGAACCTAATTATAGCAAGCAAATACACCTCTGCAGCGTGGCATTTAAATAATATTCTGTTTTAAAAGGCTGCACCGGTAGTAAGGACATGACGTAGATTGATTTCATTGATTGATTAATAAACGGCCATTTTCTTAACCTGAATTTACTCTTGAACCTCTTCAACGAAATGCTAAATGTTTCATAATATGCTAAATTAAAAAGAAAAATACGTTATATTTTAGCATTATTTTGTGTTAGCTGTGTTACGATAATTGTGATTAAACTTACTGAGAAAATATAATTACTTTGGTTGCTTGATCAAAAAATAAAAAAAGATGAAAAGAATAAAATATGTGAAACGGAGAAGTTCACACCAAGAATTGTAGCTAGCTGTATTTCCATTGACCAGATAATTATGTAATTTGAAATTTAGGAAATAAATTTGCTTAATGGAAACACGCCAACATGAGGTGTTTTTTTGGAATTGGTTAATTTTGCCAAACTGCAGTGGAGACATTTTCTTTAGCCTTTCATGAGTCACATGATCTACAAGCGAACGTGACCGCTGGCACAAACCCTGAAGAAGAAAACAGGAAGTAGTAGAATGATGGCGCTGCATGTTTTTTAATAACTTATTAAATTACTAGTTTATGTCACAATAATTAGTTTTGGTTGAAAAGTTAACTGTCGAGTGTTTGCATGTCAAAGCAGAACCGCATAAAGTGCATTTTTTATTCCACATGAACTCTGTCTGGATTGTTTCACGTTCCTATTGTGCTGGCATAGCGCCGCCATTTTTATTTCTTTATCTGGCTTTGCTTAAGGATGACCTGCAGCTCCCTCTGCTGGATGGCGACCAAACATCATCACTGAAAGAAGGTCTTAACGGATGTTTTTAATCAATTGATTGGAACTCATTTTGATTTAATAAAGCATTTGTTATCTGATTAATTGTTTGCATCCCTAAATTTGCCAAATAACACGAAAGAATCTGGGCTCAGGAAGAAACTCTTGGCTTTAGTCAACCACAGCTGATGAGATGCTTTTGTCTTTATTGTCATATTATCTCCTGGGATGGTGATGAGATGATTAATCATTTTCTTGCCGCATCCTCGCGTTTATAGCGCTCGCCCTGAGTTGGGGAAAACGGTATTATGGCCCAGGTAATTGGTGGAGGGCCATCACTCATAAGCAGTTTAATTAATCTCATTAACACACCCTCTCTGGCTGCATGTCAAAGCAGAACCGTTTCTCGAGGACGGCCGCAACAGAAGGCGTTTTGACGAAATGGGCTTATCCAACCTGATGAGTGTCATATGCACAGCTGATCTCCCAAGAGAGGCTGCGGCTGGAGAAAAGTTACACAGAAATCAATAGCAACTATTCCATGAAAACCTCTGCCTGCTATTTTCAAATGCCACTCGCCGTGGTTGGGAGGGGACGTGCAGCGGTGAAAGGATGCTTTCTCATTGCTCAGCTGGAGATGGCTTTTGTCGAGCCTAAATTCTATTTGTACAAGATGGCTCCCCGGTTGCCTCCCAAGATGCATGGCGTGGTGTGGATTAAGACCGAAAAAATGCAATCACTTCACCCAACAGGAGATCTGGGGAAACAGATAAGATTCTCAGCGTAATTCATAAAGTCCCCAATCTGGCGAGGATTAATGTATGTCTTGGCTCCTGCTCTCTCTCATTTTGTATGTGTGAGGGTTAAACTGGCGCTTCATGCGGCCCATTACAATCAGGCTTTGTTTGGAAAGCCCCCCACCGCCACCAGGGCAGGATCGGACCACATTTTTCTAGAAAAGGTAAAGCAATT